GCGCCCGGCCCAGAATGTTCTTAACCCATGGTGAGCGCTTGATAAATGTTGCTGTTATTATCATCATCATTATTATTATTTTCTTACTTTCTCTACCTTCTAGGTGTCAGGTCAGAGAATTCCCTTGGATCCCAAAAGGGCCTGACTAGACCAGGCCAGCCGTGTCCTTTGACTAGGAAGGACTCCAGAGCCAGCCCCACTGTTTTTAGGAAAGGGAGTGCCAATCCGGAGGCATCTGTAGCTTTCTCCCAAGGTCACCAGAGAGGCAGTGCTGGAACTTGAACCCAGGGCTCTGACTCCAGGCCCAGAGCTCCCTTACCCCATCCCCACTCCTAAAAGCAAGTCCTCATCACCTCTCTGCCCTGCCTGAAATCCTCGGTAGCTCCCCACTGCCTCCAGAATGCCCCCGGCCTGGCATTCAAGGTCCCTGCTTGGGGTTATTTCTCTCTTCCCCAATGTGAACCCTGACCCAAAGCAAAGAGCACTGTTCCGCTTCCCAGAGGACATAAGGACCCCTGCTCTCACACATCTCTGGTGCCTTCCCCACCTGGAATGCCGGTGGTGGAGGCGTTCCTACAGCCCAGGGTGCCCGCCTGTTCTCCTTTGTTAGTTCCCTATCTCTGCTGTAGCAAATTTCCACAAACTTAGTGGCTTAAAACAACACAATTTAAAGGGCAGTTGCGGTGGCTCATGCCTATAATCCCAACACTTTGGGAGGCCAAGGAGGGCAGATCACTTGAGGCCAGGAGTTCGAGACCAGCCTGGCTAACACGGTGAAACTTTGTCTCTACTAAAAATACAAAAATTAGCTAGCTGTGGTGGTGGGTGCATGTAGTCCCAGCTACTCTGGAGGCTGAGGCAGAATCACTTGAATCCAGGAGTTGGAGGTTACAGTGAGCCGAGATTTCACCACTGCACTTCAGCCTGGGTGACAGTGCGAGACTCCATCTCAAAAAAAATAAATAAAACATAAATTCATTATCTTGCAGTTCTGGAGGATGGAAGTCTGACATGGGTCTCATGGGGCTAAAGTCAAAGTGTCCACAGCAGGGCCTTGTCCCTTCTGGAGGCTCCTTCCAGAGAATTTGTTTCCTTCCTTTCCTAGCCTCTAGAGGCTGCCTGCATTCCTTGGCTTGTGGCCCCTTCCTCCACCTTCAAAGCCAGCAACAGAGGGCTGAGTTCTTCTCATGCTGAGTCTCTTTGTTCTCTCTCCTGCCTCCTTCACGATGAAGGACCCTTGTGATCACACTGCCCCCCCGGATGATCCAGGATATCCCCCTGTTTGAAGATCAGCTTCATTCCAACTGCTATCTTCATTCTCTTTGGCCATGTCACCTAGCACCTGCATGTGTAATCACAGGATTAGGATCTGGAGTTAGGGGAGACTCTTGTTCTGCTGGCTACACTTCTCTTCCCTCACCAGAGCAGGTGCCCTCAGTCAGACAACCAGGAAGAAGTGCGTGCTGCCCATGCTTCCGCTTCTGGGGAGGAATCAAAAGGTCCTACCAACATACCTTTGGGGGTGTTTTTGAACTTCTAAAGGGCTTTCACATACTTGAAGGTTAGCACTATTTGTTTGGCTCTACATCTGAGAAAACCGGTGAGAGGGGCCAAGTGGCTGGGCCGGGGTTGCAGGGTGAGGAATGAACGTTGCCGGGCTCACCCCCAGGCCTGACCCCAATACTTCCCCTTTTTTCCCCCTGAAACAGCCTCACCTCCCCGAGTCCATTGTAATGATTTTCCAACGCCACTTCAAGTGAATCCTGTGGCTAATCTGCCCTTATTTCTGGCTTCTTGCCAAAAGTCATGGGGTCACACTTGAAAGACTTCCTCAAAGCCTGCAAGTCATCGTGCTGGAGATTTCTGCTTGACTTGCAAGCAGGAATTGTTCCCCATATGCTGCCACTGGGGCTGTCAGAGGAGCCGATTTCCAGGGGAGCTATTAGTCAATATGTCTCAAACGCCTGAAATATGCACACCCCTTTTACCCACTGATACCACATGAAGCCATGGACAAAGGTGCAGAAATGTACATGCTAGGTTTGTGTCATGGCATAGTGTGGAAAACAAAATATCCCAGCTATTCAAGATGCTCATCACTAGGGCCTCAATTCAATAAAATGCTATGGCCAGCAGCGGTGGCTCATGCCTGTAATCCCAGGTGGATCACCTGAGGTCAGGAGTTCAAGACTAGCCTAGCCAACATAGTGAAACCCAGTCTCTATGAAAAAATGCAAAAATTAGCTGGGCATAGTGGCATGTGCCTGTAGTCCCAGCTACCTGGGAGGCTGAGGCAGGAGAATCGTTTGAACCCGGGAGGTGGAGGTTGCAGTGAGCTGAGATCATACCACTGCACTCCAGCCTGGGCAACAGACTGAGATTCTGTTCCCCCCCCCCCACACACACAAAATATATATATATATATGTATATATATATATATATATATAAAATAAATAATAAGGGCCAGGTGCGGTGGCTCACGCCTATAATCCCAACACTTTGGGAGGCTGAGGCGGGAGGATCACCTGAGGTCGGGAGTTTGAGACCAGCCTGACCAACATGGAGAAACCCCCTCTCTATTAAAAATGCAAAATTAGCTGGGTGTGGTGGCAGGCACCTATAATCCCAGCTACTTGGGAGGCTGAGGCAGGAGAATGGCTTGAACCTGAGAGGTGAAGGTTGCAGTGAGCTGAGATCGCGCCATTGCACTCCAGCCTGGGCAACAAGTGCAAAACTCTGTCTCAAAAATAATAAATAATAAACTAAAATAAAATGCTGCAGCCACTGTTGTAGCGTTACACAGTCATTACAGGTCTTTTTGTAATGCTAATCTCTGTATCATTCCAATTTTTAGTATATGTGCTGCGAAGCAAACACAACAAATCTCAAAGGACATCTCCATTTACTGATGAGATACCAAGATAGCCCAGAACAAGGACGTGAAAATTCTCCACTTTATTAGTCACCAGGGAAATGAGAATTAAAGCCAAAATAGGTATCGACATACCTATTAGAATGGCTAAAACTGGCTGGGCAAGGTGGCTTACACCTGTACTCCCAGCACTTTGAGACTGAGACGGAAGGATCCCTGGAGGTCAGGAGTTCGAGACCTGTCTCTCCAACAAGAAAAAAACCCATATCTACTAAAAAAAAAAAAACTAGCTTGGTGTGGTGGCATAGCTGCTGAGGAGGCTGAGGCGTGAGGATCACCTGAGCCTGGGAGGCAGAGGCTGCAATGAGCCAAGACTGAACCACTGCACTCTAGCCTGGGTAACAGAGTGAGACCCTGTCTCAAAAGAAAAAACAAAAGCAGGTTCTGAATGTGCAGTTTGATTTCCTTTCTAGGGAAACAAAAGTGTGTGTGTATGTGTTTTCTGAGTGACGGGATCAGAGGTGAAGTAGACTTTTTTCTTTAAAAGTTTTCTGCATGTGCATAATGCGTTTTTTAAAAAGTCATACATCTGCATTTATATTTATAATAAATAAAGCAATTTCCATTTTGTAAGAGGAAAACAAAACAAGTGCCTGGAGCAGGGCCTGGCCCCTGCTGATTCACGGAGGCTCCTCTTCCCTGGCTGGTCCCGTCCAACCGGAGACAGGAGTTGACACAGACCGAGGGCTTCCTGTGCTGTGGCAGCTGGGATCTTTCCAGGCGTGCAGTGGTTCCCAGGGCAGTGATGGGAGCCGCTGTGCAGATGCTTCCCGGAAGGCCCAGGGTCAGCTTCAGCTAGACCGGTAAATCACCCACTGGTGCCGGCCCTGCTGTGCTGCCTGCCGCAAGGGCGGGAGCGCTTCCTCTGCAGAGGCAGGGCCAGCGTTTCGGGGAAATGCCTATCATGGTGCATTTGTAAGTGCGTGGGAGCCCACTCACACTTAGCTTTGAGTGGGCGAGTAATTTATTTATGTATGCATTTAATTTAATTTAATTTATTTTATATTTTTTGAGACAGAGTCTCGCTTTGTCGCTCAGGCCGGAGTGCAGTAGTATGACTGCAGCTCACTGCAACCTCCACTTCCTGGGTTCAAGTGATTGTTCTGCCTCAGCCTCCCAAGCAGCTGGGATTACAGGCGCCCACCATCACGCCAGGCTAATTTTTTGTATTTTTACTAGAGACAGGGTTTTACCACGTTGGCCAGGCTGGTGTTGAACTCCTGGCCTCAGGTGATCTGTCCTCCTTGGCCTCCCAAGGTGCTGGGATTGGCTGGATGCAGTGGCTCATTCATGCCTGTAATCCTAGCACTTTGGGAGGCAGAGGCAGGTGGATCACCTGAGGTCAGGAGTTCGAGAGTTTGAGACCAGCCTGGCCAGCATGGTGAAACCCTGTCTCTCCTAAAAATAC